GAATGTTATAAAAGTATTAGATTTACGGTGTCCCTAAAAAATTTCACTGGCCAATCAGATTTCAAGATCAGGTGTGACGCAGAAGAAACGCAAAAAAAAAAAAAAAAAAAAAAAATCAACATTTTGTCTATGAAACTACCACCTGCGCATTAACAAAAAGTTTTCCTTGCGAAATTTTGGTGCTACCAGAGCTCTTTCTAACCTAATAGCTAATCTAACAGCGAAATTTTTTAGCAAAATTTTTTAGGTTGGTAACGCTAGATCAGTTCAACAAATATACGCACATGAAATATGTTTTTTTTCCTAGGTCAAACATTATTAGATCTGAGAACGGAATTCAGGATAGATGCGTATCTATCCCTAACGCTAACGAAATATTAGTGTATATATATTACGCATATATATATTTATAATATATTGATTCGAACGTTTTATGCAGTGGTATCGTATTATATTATATACCAATTGCATTAACTCTATAAGCGTATAGATAAAATTCATACAACTCAACTCTAGTCATTATAAATACATTTAAAAAGACTATATATAAAATTAATAGTAAGGATTGGGTTACTAAATTTATAAAAATTGGAATAAACTAAAGGCTATTAATCCTAACACTAAAACGGGGCTACTTAGTAACGAACTAGCATCAGATTTTTGACCATTGGATTGTCCGTTGCTGCCGTTGCTGGTAGAATTGGAGCCGTTTGGAGAAGCTTGATTAGGACCCGACATTGGTACACTTGTATCCACATAAGCACAAGACGAGTCATTGCACAAACAAGTATTTTGGATCGGATCAAACCAAACGGTATCACAATTCGGGGGTAATCTGTGTCTACTACTACTACCTATGAAAAGAAGAAAATTATAATGTAACCGTGGCAACCGAATGAATATTTTTGCAGACATACCTGAAGGGACAGGATTAGCGACAGTAATATCACTGCTTGGACAACCATAACATGTACTCCATGAACCATTTTGGAAAGAACAGGTTTCTAAAAGACCATCGTCAGTTAAACCATTACAAATCTTCTTGTCAATCTTTGGAGCTTGGCATTTGAATGGAGCATAATCTTTGAGTTTACTTGCAGGAACAGGAACAGGTTCTTTCATCCAGGTGAGAAGCTGTTGCGGAGTTACAAACCATACATTTGGTTGTGCTAATGCCCAATCGAAAAATTCTTGAAGCATCTGAATCATTGGAGCAGGATCTGATTATGAAAAAGAAAATTTAGTA